ATGTTAGTTCAGTTAACTGCACAGAAGGAGCTTTTTAAATGGAATATTTTTTTTTTTTATGTGGGATGTGAATTCACAAAGGAAATTGAACCATGATGGGAGTATTCCCCCTGATCCAACTCTGATAAATGCCAACAAGAGTTATGAACATGCTGAAATTGAAGAGCGAAGCCTACTGTATGAAATTAAACTGTCTAAACAATCTTACTGGGAGACAATGATTTAACAGAGCTCAGTAGATTAATTTTACTCTCAGTAAGTGAAGATGATGGCTTTGGCATTGTTATCCTGGAAATCCCATAACTCTTTTTATGTCCAGCTGCACATCTATAATATCTTTTGGGGGCTGAACAGGTGAACTGAGATTGCAATTTGAAAATGGAGCATCCTTCTTTGAAGTCCAACTGCATTGTCCTTTGATCTTAGTTCTTTCAGCTCTAAAAGTAAGACGTCTTCAAACTAAAAGTTTAATTATTTTCACAAAAGCCTGGATGCTGTACAGCATCATTACCTTTCTCTGATTTCTATGGGGTTGAATGTTTTTAGAGCTATTGATAATCAGTTCACTTAAAGATGCCCAAGTCACCTTCTTCAGTATTTGAAAATACTTTTTCTCCCACCTGTTTTGTGTACTTAAGGATCTGAAGGGATAATGACTGGAAAACTTGATCCTTTCTGAATTTTCACCTTGGAATTGTGATCCAGAAGTGTTGTGAAACCTCCCAAGCAGGGAGATTGTGAAAAGGTCCCAGAGTTCAACTGCAGTGCTGGAAAGATGGGTAAAATTTAAACTGAAACGCCATGGGAACGGACAAGCATGGAGCATATAGCTTACTCTTTGTCTGAATTTTCAGCAAGCAGAGTTCACCAACCTGTCTTTTTCCTGGGTAAGTGTTTGAAAATGCAAAATGATCCTCTGGATCAAATGTGAGGCTTCCTATTACACACAGAGAGCTGCCACTGTAAGTTTTGCAGTAAAAGGTTAATGTCCTGGTTTCATCCAGTTAATGGCAATTTAAATCAAATCTATAAATCCTGTAGTAATCACTCAGAGTAAAACAAACCCCAGTAGGTTTCTGGCTTCAATAGAGCATATTGAAATGGGCAGCCAGGTGTTCTGGCTGCTAAACTGCTTGCTGAGTTGACAAGCAAAACCAAACCTCTCTTTGTGATCTGAGTTAACACTTGAGTTCTTTAAAGAGGCAATTGCAGGGGACATGGGTGATGAAGGATGCCATCAGCTTCAGGGATAAGCTCTTGAAGACTGCTTTCTATTTTCTCTTAAAAAGCACTCTGCATCCTCCTGTCAGATGAGCTCAGAATTCATTAGTCTCTTGCTGCTTAATGTGCTTTTAGTCTTTGGAAGTAACTTCAGGTTATATATGCAATTCCAGCACTGACAGTATTAGACCTATGTGTCAGGCTTAAATTGTGCCTTTGTTTTTCAGACTTGACGCTTTCTTCTAACAAATGGAAACAAAATTGATCTTCCTTGTTGATATGTTAACATATATTAGCTAATTAAATCTATGCAAATCATTGTTAACATTTTAATGTTTTTGATAGTGCTATGCCACCATCATATTAAAGGATATTGCTTTATCTGAAATGTAGTAATCTAATGATGTTAAGTCTTACTCTCTCTGGTATGGCTCCATCAAATGAAAACTAGGGAATCCAAAAGCTTAGGGAAAAGTGGGAAGTAGTAATGGTAATACAGAGGGAGAAACAGCTGAGTCTCTCTCCTGTAGTTTTTGGAGATCTAGCTTATGCTCTCTGTGGGATTCAAGATGTTACTGTGTCAAAACCTGCTTTCTGAGAATTTTCCTTAGCGAGATGTCTGTCTGCAACATGATTTTAATGTGTCTGCACATAACTGGAATAATCAGGAAACTAATGGACTTTAGTAGACTGGACTGACTGGAGAGGCACTTATTCTTGTGAGCTAAGGCAGCAGAATCTGTCCCCCAATGCTGTGTTACTGACCAAAACGCAAAGGAATAACTGTAACCAAGGAAATATACTTGAACTGACCTATTATTGCTTTTAAAAATAATAAATAAAATGGAAAGCATATCTTGCAACAGATTAAGGAAAGTGGTGATGTGCATGTGTTTGCAGTACACTTTGAGCATCAAAGCTTTAAAGGGTGTTTCTGGCATTCAGAATAGTTCCTCTGTTTGTTTTTCCAGCTGGAAAGACATGATAAGCTTTTTACTGGAGATGTGATTCTGATACTCATTCCTTTTGGCTGTTTGTTTTCACTTGAATTGTCTGACACATAGAGAGGATAGTAGGATGCTTCTTCTGTTCTGTGATCTCAAAGCCAAGCAGGAAAGCCCTTCCAAGGCTGGTGGATTTAAGTATGGTACAGATAGCTTGATATGTCAAAGCTCTAACAGCCTCTATTTTACAGACTTCACTATGAAAAATAATAAAATGCAGCACAGAAAAAGCAAAATTATTATGATCCATCCTTCTTGGGAAGCTGGAAATTGTAGCCCACACCCTTTAGTCTCTATTTTGGCTAAAGGGAGTGTGTATAAGAGATGCTTAGAATGGAGTTGGGACTAGCAAATTCAGTTCATGGGGGAAAAACCTGTGTAGTAAGTAGAATGTGGCAAAGTGTTATTTTGACCAATGTTTTTTACTGGGTTTAAGTCATGCATGTGTGACAAAATGGGGGAGTGTAAAGCGTGGTGTAGAATACAACTCCTGGTTTTACTGAACTCTGAATAGGGGCATTTCTTTATCATTTTGGTGCTCTTCTGCCTTGTGCTAATGGAACTTCCAGATTTCTGGGGAAGCTTCAAACAAGAAACACCTGGGCCTCTGGGCTTCACTATTGATTACATTTTGGAAATGCAGAGTTGTCTTTATCAAAACTGATCTTTCCTTGTCATCTAAAAAGTGTTGAATGGAGTACACCAAATGGACTTACTCTTTCAAAACTGTAAGTAAACCAACATGCAAGTGTTTCTTGCATGAAACATTTCAAAACATGCAAATAACTCTCTGACTATAAACAATGAGGCTTTCAACTACTTATCCCTTTAGTTTTTTAACTAAATGGGTATAGTACAACAGATATGATCATGGAAAAGTAAAATTTCTCAGCAAGTGGCAATATTTTAGATTAACTCAGGGCAGAGGGAAAAAGCAGCCTGTGCTATTCTCTACAGGAAATTTAGCAGAGAGAACTTAATGTTCTTTCTTGTCAGAGGCTGCAAATAAATGTTAACTACAACAGACCATTGATTTACGTAACTGAAACCCTTGCCGCATTGTGCACAGAGCTATTAAGGAGAGAAAATACCAAGTTAGGAACAAGTGAAAACTCTCTGTAAAATATTCCTTTCTCTCCCACATTCTGAGTGTCAAATTATGGCCACAGAAACTATTTATATTAACTTTTCTTGGTCTTTTTGCCCTGTTTTAATAATATGAGCCAGAATACCTGCAAATTCTACGATGGAGAAAGTCACTGGAAATTCACTTGACCACGTGTCAAGTCCTTCAGCTGCCCTGTTCCCAGAAAAGCTTGGAGCAGTCTATGCTGTCCCAACAACCAACAGATTGCTGACACAGAGGTGGTGTTGGAGCTGACCATAGGAACAGTATTAGGGGACTTTCCACCATGGAAATATGATTCTTGGCAATTATGTCAGTTGCCCAGTAGTTAATCTTGGATTAAATAGATGGATTAGTTTTGAGTAGATGTAAACTGAGTCAAAGCTATTGCTACTGTATTTTGGTTGAGACATTTGAAACTGAAAACTAATGGTTTACTGTGCACATGAATACTTTGATTGAATTATGAAGTTCATGGCCATATGATGCTAGTTAATGATGTAATAATATGTAAGCGTCATAAGATAGGCACTGATTGCACCATTCCTGTGAAATGCAGAAATGCTATCTGTAGTTAAGGATAGAAAATGAGGTATAGAAGTGTAAGAAATTGCCCCAGGACATATAGAAAGTGAGAGAGAATAGTTATTTAATGCAGGGTCCTGAAGCTCACAGCACCAGTCCATTTGTTGTCTTTTAAAGTTATTTTCTGTGTTAAATATACTTTTAGTATCTATTAAATTAATTTTGTAATAATATTACTTAAGTAGTAGAGCTGAAGAAATGGGAAACAAGTATCAGATGGTAATGTTTTCCAGTGTTTTAGCTGTAAATAATTATTACCAATAATCTAGTCAATGCTTATTGTAAATGTTAAAGATCATACAGTAATTAATGTATTTGAGCATAATTAAGAAATTACAACCATCAAGATAAAGTGAATTGCTTGGTAATCTGTACTCATCTGAATAGCAGGTATTTTTATTATCTCCAAGAGAAAAGCCATAAATTTAGGTATAATGAATGGAGGCCACGCAGAGAGGTTGGGGCTGGGGCCCAGAGAGCAGCAGCCACGCGTTCTGTCAGGGCTGTCCTCTGGGTGAGGATCTGGAAGTCCTCTGGGAGAATGACATCACATTTTTCTCTGTTAGCCAAAGCCAAAATACAAACTTCCCTGCTTTACTCAAGCAATAACATTCTCTCAAGCACATGAAGCAAAGATGTCAACAGTATATGCAGCGTGTTCACTGGAAGCATCACCCAGAGCGGGCCAGTGCGGTGCGAGGGGATGGTGCTTTGAAGGAATACCTCATGTGTGACAAGGGAAGCTTGGCTCTGAACTGAGGGCTGCAGCTGGCCCACCCTTGGACTCTGCTCCCAGCCTTGCTTCTGGGCATCTGGCTTGTCAGTGGCCTGGCAGGGGCTGCCGAGTGCTGCAGCTTTAAGGCATCGGGTGCTGCCAGGCAGCGGGTCCTCTCCAGGGCTGGAGCACCATGCGCAGGCAGCCATCCTCGCCTCGGCCGGGCTGGCAGCTGCTCGCTGCTCTCGACTTAATAACATTTGGCTGCTTATGAGACATCTGACCAGTGAGCTGAAAGCTTCCTTCGAGTGCGGCAGACTTTCACCTGGCGCTGGCAGCAGCTGCCACCATGGCAGCAACGGGCTCTGCCACAGCCAAAACTGCCAAGTCCTGCAAAAAGTATCGAACGGTGAAGCGGCACGCTGGCATCTACACCTACCAGGAGCCGCCCCACAGGTAAGAGACCCTCCTCTCACCTGAGGTGCAAATCTGCCTTATCTACCACAGAAGTGGGGGCTTGTCTTTTCGCTTTCACTTAGTGCAGTAAAGTGAAAAACAGCATGAGAAAAATCACTCTTCACTCTGTACTTAGATGTATTTTAAGCCTCTTTTTTTTTTTTAATTTTCACGAAAGTAATGTTTCATACTGCAACATAAACACTGTACATACCACAGTGTAACTCCCATGAGTTCAGGGTATAGCGGGGTAAGAAATCTCTCTATACTTCTCCTGCGTATTATACGTTTCCTTTGAATGTTGCCTGTGACTAGGGAGACAGGACTGTGGATTGACAGGTCAGTGGTCTGACAAAGTATGTATTTTGAATGTTCTTACAAGGCATGGTTTAGTTTATGATTTATTTCTAAGTGATTAAAAGGCGTTGCTTTTTCAGCAAAATTGCAGGGAACTTTCCTGACTAGTCCGTAGCAACACAATTAGTAAACTTCCCAGCTGGTGATTGTTGCAGCTCTTCAGATCTCATCATTTCATTCAGGGGGGAACAGTCACCACAGGTTTCTAGACCTAAGCCTCTGCAAGAATGAATATTGCTGCTGTTTCATATACAATACCCTATTTCAGAGAACTGAGAGAGCTGTAGCTTAGGAAATGTGGTGAGAGCATTAGAAAAGATGATTTAATAATCATCCGCAGAAATCTGCATCAAAGCACATGAATCTTTTACAGGGACAAGTAATTCCTGGTGTGCGGGGTCCCATGCTCCCGTCCCCTCAGCTGGGAAACAGGAAGGAAGGGCAACCGTGTTCTAAACGTCTGTTTCCTCCATTCTAACAAGGAGATATTTTATCATTATTACAATCAAAATAAAAGGCTAACACCAGACAGTGAATAAATGAATGTTAAGTGCTTTTGTGAGAAATGTTTAGACAGCACTTTGTTCCAGAAAAATATACAGTGTCTTGTTAGCATGATGTACAAGCTGTATGGCTGGAAGTGCTCGGAGAGGAAAAACTGGGATTTGTGGCGGAGAGCAGGAATAATTTATGACTGAACAGTGAGCAGTGGGGAGGAAAAGAGGCACACCCTGGAGATGGGGAGATCATCTGGATTATTCATCAAGTTTAAAACAAGAAGGTGGTGCAAGTTCATTAGCTCACTGCTGTTATATTGATCTAATAGGTTGGATCCTGTGCAAATCAACGGTTTGCTGGGGATCTGAATGGGAATAATTTGTGTTGGTTTTCCTCTTGTGGGGTGTGTGCTGGGCTGCCAGCAACTCGGATGATGATATCGGTGAAGAAAAGGCTGAGAGCCATGACCCAGAGCAGATCTTTCAGAACATCCAGTACCAGAAGGAGATTATGTCCAACATCCGCTGCCGGCCGTGGCCGATGAGGCAGAAGCTGAGGGCACTCAGGTAAGTGTTTGCATTAAAGCTTTTAGGCTCACTGACTGTGACAGTGCTTACAGCCTCAGTTGTTTTTCAGTGTGTACAGAAATTATTAAGAGCTTCTAGGAAAGCATGCCATGAGGATGCTCTACTGAGATCTGAAAGCTGGCTGAAGGCAGCAGCCTTGGGGTGGGAAGTCTGCAGGTGAAGTTGTCTCCTGTGCATGTCTGACTCCCTTTGGATAGTCACTGTATAGAGAATGAAATCATGCTTTGGCTATTAACTATTAAAACAGTGTGTCAGCTATTCAGTGGTCTAAGGAAAGGCTGTTGGTAATGCTCAGTAATACATTTTTAAGCTAAATGTTTTCACTCTATCCCAAAAAGGAAAAACAATCTCCCATTTCCAAGGTAATTGCATGTGACGATTGCATGGTATGAGAACAGAAGCTAGTCATAATCTTCAGGTAATATATTGTAAATGGCAGTAAATACTGGATGCTTGTAGGTTTAAAAAGTACGTTCGGTGTAGCAATAGTATGTTTCACAGCTTAAGATTTCAATTATTATATTAATAATTACAAATATACAATGAAAGAGTGGGTGCCTAACTCCTTGGGCCACCTGTCTAAATTGTGTCAGACCTTTCACAGTGTGATCTGCTTGGGACCTGTTTTATTTTTCCTTTCCCTCTGGCATCTTTCTCTTAAAACCCGGTATGATGCTAGGATGGCATTTTAGTCATGAGGAATCCCTACCACCACTTTTGTAATCTTGGAAGCAAAGAGAGATTTTTCTCTCTTAGGCAGGGTCTGTGACTTGCTGCCTCCCTTCTCTTGTTGATGAGATTTTGGTGGTCCCCATCCTCCTTCTGCTGAGGTCAAAGACTGTGTAAGACTAGATGAATATGCACCTCTTTGCATCTGACGAGCACTACACTGTATTTGCAGAAGAGGTGTTAGTATCCACGTGAGATTAACCAGACTGTAATGGTGACCTTTTTATTTTACTCATTTGGGTTGCACCAGTTTAAAAGAAAGACTTTGAATCAAAAGGACAGAGAAGAAAAAAAATAGAGGAATTGAAAACTCTTCCTGCAGTTAGTTTTGAACGCTGAGTTTTCTCAGACAAAATTCTCAGTGGTTTTAAAGCGTCAGTAAAAACCTCAACGGGAAAAGAAAAAAGCTTTGCCTGGATAAGGATTTTATGGTGAGAAAGTCCACAGTTGTATTTTAGAGCATTTGACAACTTTGCTTGTTGCTGTTTGTGCAGAGTAAGGGGCTTTGGGTAATGGGATCAATGTGGGATGAATTTCCACCTTCTTGTGCAGGCAGGCGAAGGAGATCGTGCTGAAGTATGAAGGGAGACTCACAAGAACAAGAGGTTACCAAGCTGCTGGTGCAGAGGTACAGCTGTTTTTTCTTAAATTACAGCTCTTTTCTTTACCAATAATCGTCTGCAGTTTTCATTCACAGAAGCATATGTTTGCTGTGCAGTCTTGATCTCCAACTCAGGAACTCTGTAGAGGGAAGAAAAGCAGTTAAAAGCTTCTTTTTTTTTTTTTTTTTCTATTGTGAATTTAGTAATTACATTTTTGCAGACTAATTTGATGTGTTGAGGGATGAATGTCCTCCTATTAACACAGTATAAGCTTCCTTCTCAAATAATCTACAAATATTGATGCCTGCTAGAAGGGGCAATTGGGAATGGGATACCAATAACATAATGTCAGTATTCTCTGAAGAGCTATTGCACCAGACTGTGGGGCCACAGTTCAATAGTTTAGTATGAAACATGTCTAGCTTTTAGTTTGGAAGACAGTCCTACAATAGCTTATGGTAAGTACACTCTTAGAGGTTTTTGCTTACATAATACTCAAAGAATTTGAATCTCATCTTAGAAAATCTATTTATACCACTGGAAATTGACCCTGGCCTTAGTTTCTGGAAATTAATAATATGGAGGAAATCATCCCTAATATACAACCAACAGACAAGAGATCTTTATCCATCTAAGCAGTTAAAAATATTTTTGTCATCATAATGAGCAGACTTTTAATGCTGCAACTTCTTTTAATTCAAAAAGGCAGGGTTTTAACAATAAAATGGAACACCATGCATTTTATTCACATGAACAGTGGAAAGGTCACGTATCTGTTGTTCTGGTATGTTGGCCCACAGCAAAGGTTAAAAGTACTACTTTCTAAGGTAGGAAAGAGTAATTTTTCCTTGTTCTGCCTTTGTGTATGTGGCAAATGTGGTGGAAGTGGGATGCTGTTAAAATAAAAACTGTTTTTTGCTTTTGACTCGATGTCACCTAGAAAGAAAAATGCTAAGGGTCCATAATACATGTCAGTAAATCTGAGATTGGACTTGTTACTTGTTTGTATTCCCCTTCCTATAAAAAAATGTAGGCTGTCATCTTAGAGTTCACAATTAATAAAAGTGTGTATCTAATCTAATTGCCTTTATTGTGTGTATTTGTTTGAAGATATTCAGCACAGGGATAAAATTCAGCAGTTAATTAGAACTGCTTATTATGTGTAGGGGAACTGTATTCTTTTTTCCTAGCACAAATTAGGGATTATAGTCTTTATATCAGGGCTAAATTCAGCAAAGGCAACAGAATGAGCTGCACTATTTTTTATTTTATTTTTTTTTTTAACTGGAAGGTTTTCATTGTCACGTATTTTCTCAGAACATAGCATGGTGGCCAAGGAGATAAAAATTGTAGCACAGCAAAACAAGCACTACATCATCAAAATTAAGAACCCAGTAGTTGAACATGTGCTAAGAACAAAATGCAGCTGTAAATTTATATGTTTTAAAATAAGTTTTGAAAATTGGTAGAATACACACTGTTTATAATTGGACAATACATTAATGCTATTATTTATGAAGGTAAAATACCTTTTACTGTTTTGATACTGAAGACATTTTTCCTTTCAGGTTTAATTATTTTATATTTGCATTGTAATTTTTGTACATTTGCAATTAATGCCAGATAACCATAAACCATATTCTGTATTCTAAGAGTATAAATTATCTGTTCAGGTACGCAGTAGGCAGGAAAAGAGGTGATAGCGATCTGATTATAATTTTAACAAATACTATTCCCACACAGTCACCTTTGTATACTTTCTAAATCTGCAGTACAACTGCCACAAGCTTCTTGATTCCTTTCTCAGCATTGTGAACTCTGTTTTCAAATAAAAGTAGCAATCCTAGCAATTCCTGTGCACACCTACAATTTATTTAATAAAAATACTTCCCATTCATGCAATAAAATATTCATCCTGCCATAAAATCTAATTAAGATTGGCCAAAGAGATTGATAATATATTAAATAATTAAAATTTTATTTACTTCTCTTTGGTTTTAGGAGATTAGATTGCATTATATAATATTGTCACTGCTGCTGACTAAAATATAGGGGTTTTTTAACATCTAGCTATAATAAAAATACTCTATAATGCATGATATACAAATATTTTTTGTGTTGATACTGTAAAGTCAGAGCTCTAACTCAACAAATCAAAAACTGTACTTAGTTTGCACATGCAGATTTTGTTTCTTCTCCCACCTGCCTATGCACACCTCACTGTGTGCAGGAAGATGCTTTCCTCTGACCATGCAAAAAATGGAGGTTGAATCTACAAACTGAACCACATGTTTTCTGCAGGTGTCAGCTGTAATACACAGAGATGAGAATATAATAGTTGAATTTGCTGCTGTTAAATATGAAAGCTTATTTTTCCTCTAAGAAAAAATGGCATTATGCTTCTCTTAAGTTTGATATTAGTTGCCTGTTCATTTGTCCTAGAAATAAAATTTATTATGTGTAGTGCAGCAGGATTCCCTCATAAATTACACAGAGTCTACGCATCTCAGCAATGCCCAACCTGGGTGACTTCTGCTGCCCAGAGCTGCTGCTTGGCCCTGCTCTGCAGTTCCTCCCTTCCACAGCCCCCAACATAGACAAGGAAACAGGGAGTGGTGCCTGCTGGCTTCTTTCTGTTGGTTCCTCATGGTCTTTATGTGTAAAAGGTGTTGATTAGTGGCTCCTGATGGTGCCCTCAGAGGTGTTTAAAGGGTGTTCTGTCTTATCTTTATTGGCACGTGGCTGGTAAGCAGAGTCAAGGTCTCCTGAGCTCCGGACATTTTGTGTGTTTCTAAAACCCACCACTGTTTTCTTTACCCACCTTACCACAGACATGCTCCAAGATCTTTGTAATTAGGATTTATAATATTTCTTGTGATACAAGATGAGAGAGATGTGAGCAAAATACTCTGCATTTCTGTTTTTCTTTTTTTTACATGCAGAAGTGTCAGGTCTCTTATTTCTCTGCTTTTTTCTCAGCTTTGGAGGAAGTTTATTCGACTTGCGTATAATTTTGTGGTGATCTTTATTCCTTGGGAAATGAGAATAAAGAAAATTGAGAGTAAGTATAAAGATTTAATGGTATTGAACAGTAAAGCATTTGCTAAAATGCTGTGTCTTAGGGTTTATTTTTTAATTTACTGAATTAATATTTGGGAGACAGTTAAATGCAAATTTTCAGCAGTGATGTTTTCATTTAAATCTTTGTTTTTTCTTGTTTTCTTGGTGCCTTAGACACTGAACAGTTCTCATTTATGGTCTTAATGGGGGGCGACTTTTAAAAAGTCAAATTTGTCCAGTTGTGGTTCTGAAAATGCAGCAAGATTTTGTTATAGTTTATCATAGTCCATGGGGCAGCATCCTTGTGCCAGCATCCCCAGATCTGCCCAGGGTTAAGTGTGGCTGTAACCACACTGTGCTTGACTGGTAAAGTTAAATGGATGTGTGATGTCACCCAGCATAGCAGCTTCTTGCATAAATGCTACTGGTAATCATGAGACTTCTCCAACAGTTTGTGTTGGAATTATATTTTCCTCAGTGACGTGTTAACATTTTCTCTACTTTGCTGTATGTCCTGCATGAATAAGGTTTTTCTTTTGTTTTATTATTCAAATAATACTTCATGAATAAATTATATGAGCTTTTATAGACTGTGTAGCTCAGATAACTATTTTCTACGGTTTAAGGTCATTTTGGGTCTGGAGTTGCCTCTTACTTCATCTTCTTGAGATGGCTATTTGGAATCAATATTGTACTTACCATAATGACAGGAGCATTCGTAGTCTTACCAGAGGTAAGAACTTGTTGTTAATATTTACAGAAAAATGCATACTGTTGCACTTTCCTTTCTGAATTAAACAAATGCCACACTTAAAGGCATACATCAATTTGAAATGTACAATTTAAAATTAATTACTTAAAATAAATTCCACTATTAAGAGGTTTTTTTCTGCCAAAGCATAAGAGATTTTTGCTATTAGTGTTAGAGATTATATTTTGTCAACATGGTACTAATGCTTTTGTAGAATACGTTTGTATCCTATTATTAAAATAGAGAACCAAATTCTAAAAGCTGTAGATGGTGTTGAGTTTGTTCAAGTCCTGTTAGTGCCATTTACAGGCAGGAAAACATAACATCTCTCTCCAGACTCTGGATTATTGTCCATTAGAAATCATTTTCTAGAAGGTCTGAACAGTGACAACTTTGTTTAGTTCTTGCATGCGAGTATGGGTGTTTAACTTTGTTGAATTATTCATAAATATTATTTTGCCTCACCTAACTTCTGCTGTAATAACGTTATTAGAAAACATAGGAATATCTGATTTTTATTCTCATTGACTAAGCTAAAAAAAAGTAAGTACCCCCAAAACAACAACAAAAAAAGAAATAAAAAAGTATTGACTTTCATTTTTTACTTTTTTAAGAGAAAGTAGATTTAATCTTGAAATATCATTTAGAGATCAAACATTTTAATATTTAATTTAAAAATACTTAAGTTAAACATAACTTTTAAAGTTGTTTTGTTAATTGTTTCAGCTGATCTCTCTTGTCATTTCTCAGCCATTTTGAAGATGTCTACAGAGCACATAAATTTCCTCATTTCCTCGTAGACCACAGATTGCAGAGCCCTATCTAGTTTAATGGAAAATGAATGCAGGGTTTCTCATGGAGTTTCCAGTTTAGGACAAGGAATAACCCAATACTGGCTATTCTGATAGCACCCTCTGTGCAGGCAGCTCTTGGTGGGTTCTGCTGTGCAGTCCTGGGTCAGACAGCATCTGAAACCTCCTCTCTTTTCCCCAGCTACTGGTTGGAGCACCGTTTGGCAGCACAGTCAGCAAGACCATTCCCAAGGAGCATATTGCATCTGCTCAAGACCTGGACACCATTTGGTCACTAGGGGCAAGGCTAAAACCACTCTTTATTATTTTGCTGTCACTGTTCTGTTCTAACTATTCGTTACTGCTCTTACTTACGGGTTCTGGTCTTTGCAGGGCTACCTCCAGTACTCTGTTTTATTTTATGGTTACTATGGTCGTGACAGGAAGATTGGGAAAGCTGGATACCGGCTGCCTCTCGCCTACTTCCTTGTTGGAATGGCAGTGTTTGCTTACAGCTTCATCATCCTCTTAAAAAAGTAAGCCTTCCCATTTACTTCTGTTGGTAAGCTTGTGTGTTCAGGCAATCGTTAACGATGAACTTATTCCATTTCCTCCGTATGTATTCTGTGTAGCTCTATTGACCTGTTCCAGTCTGCTAATATCAGGGAGGCAGACTTGAGTTTAAATCTAGCTTGCTTTTTATCTTGCTATCATTTATCTTCACTCTCTCTTTTGTTTCCCAGTCTATAAAAGGAGGGCAGCACAGAAGATGATCTGTGTGCTTTGTGTTTGTATAGTTTAAGATCCAACAGTCATGGAAGTCCTTTTTGTTTTCATCTTTTCTGGTATAAATATTGCTATGATAGAAATTTATTTTTTAAGTGTAATGCTTTCAGTATTATTTTTTTCCCATCTATTGTAATACAAATATAAAAATTCCATCCTAGATGTAATATCCTTTATATTGTTTCCACCGGTATGTGGCATCCCGTTTGAATGTGAGCTTAATTCCTTTGCTGCTGAAGGGCCAGGAGCAGGAGTTACTCAGCAGAGAGAGCAAGACTGTTAGCACTCACCATAAATCTAGGAATGTGCAATGTCTGGAGAGAGTCAAGGTCACTCTATCCTCTTCTGATTTGCTTTCCCTTCCCTTCTGAATACCTATTCATCCAGCACAGTGCAGTCCAGGGTCAATTTTAGAACTGCCTCTAGTAAGTCTTAGTTTTGAAGCCAAACCTTCCATTTTAATTTATTTTTATTCTACCTACTGATTTGTGCCAAGGGCCACTGATATGTTTGACACTGATCTATACATCTGCAGTTTCTGGATATGATTAGATTATTAGCTCTTCTCCTTCTGTCTTAGCTCACTGACTCTTTGCTTAGCTGCTTACAGTTCCTCTGTTAACATTGTCCTTTTGGATGCCCTTTCTTTATGAAAGAATGAAGGTATTAATCTTCATTTCATTTCTTACACTTTGCAATATTCTGTCATCTTGCCTATCTGAGATGAGTAGGTGGGGTTTTCTTCTTTTCCCAATGCCACCGAGTTTCTATTTGACAATAACATAAAATTTGAGGGTGAAAACAATACAGAAAACAAACCAATCTTGTACATGATCACTAGTTTTGCCAAAGTAGCTTGTAATCACAGTAATAGTGGATCTTAGTGACAGTATTTTTCAGCTGGAGATCATAAAACTGAAATATGTGTAAGTTCACAGCTCTAGTGAGCTTTATTTGCTTTATTTGTCAGCTATAAAGAATGTAAATATCAAAATGCCCTTCCACAGTGAGTCACTTCTGCACGAGAACAAAACTGAAGTTCATACTCTCAGCCTCACCCTGTATTTTCTTCAGAAAGCTGACAACAATGACACTAATTGCTGCAAAGTTTTGGCAATCCTAACAACATAGACATCTGAAAACTATGAACCAAACCAGTGATTTCCTTCATCTTCACACATTAACAACAGTTGAATACTTGTTGTTTTTTTTTACAGAATGGCAAAGAACTCAAGAATGAGTTTAGCAAGTGCCTCTGATGAAAATTACACTTTCTGTTGGAGACTCTTCTGTGCTTGGGACTACTTAATAGGAAACCCTGAGGCTGCAGAGAGCAAAGCTGCTGCCATAGTTAATAGCATTAGGGTGAGCAACTGACCTTCAAATTATTTAGAATTGATTTGTTTGTTAATCTGTAAGCTATATGAGTCTTTCCTCTCATTCTCTTGCATTTCCTATTGTTTAGTATTTATTTACAGATCTGTTTGCCTAGGGGAGGGCTGATATCACATCTCTGTGTTCTTCAGAAGAGTCTTATTTAATGCCACTGTATGTGTGACAAGAAGTTAGAAAACTAGAAACAAATTTCCTTGTGATGCAACTTCATTGAGTAATAGAATCGAATTCATGCTAACAATGTGAAAACATTCATTTATTTCATCTCTCCATAACAAATGGTCCAGTGACAACTTACAGCTCTCTCAAAATTAGAAAATTGCTTTAAATACAGATGTTTTCCATTTAGAATTTAAGAACAGATATGGTTTTAATCAAAAGTAATTAATTTCCCAAATTTGGTGTATTCTCATTAAGTCATTAAACAAAATTACTTCAAATTGTGTCATGGATAAACTAATAAGCTATGATATTTAGTTATTTTGATGACTGAGGATAACTTTTGACACTTCTGTATTATATTACTGACACATGGATTCTATAGGCACATCCTGCAAAAAGATCTGGTAGTGTAAACCTCTGGTGGTACCCCATTGAACATGCATAACTGAAAGTACACAAGTATTTGATTATTGTGTATTTGTTTCTCAGAAATCTCCTTCACTATCTAAGCTCACTTATCACTCCTAAAAAGCTATGCAGGACAGAGAGGTGTTTATCTACTTGCGCTTCCAGGATGTTAAGTTTTTTATCAGTATACTTGATACCTTCTGTGAAAGATGTGTATTATGTTTGCTGAACACTATTAAAATGATAATGCTGTGTTTCTTTCAAGGAAGCTATATTGGAAGAGCAGGAAAAGAAGAAAAGCAAAAACTTGTATGTATATAAGACCAGATATACTTTTCAAAGCACTGTTTCAATGCACTTAGCAGTGCTAATCTGCTTGTCTCATACTTTTAAAAACCATGTTAGAAAAGACCCCTGGTGTCATAAGACAATCTACTGTATTGGATTTGCCTTTTTTTTTTCTCTAGGGCGGTGACCATAAGCTTAAGAATTATTGCAAACATCCTTGTGCTTCTCTCCCTTGCTGGAAGTATTTACATCATATACTTTGTTGTGGATCGATCCCAAAGGTTAGAGCGCACCAAAAAGGAATTGACTCTTTGGGAAAAAAATGAGGTACACTCTCTTTCTGTCACCTCTGTGATAGAAGCAGGATTATTGTCTCAGGGCTCTCTGTAACAATAGTGTGCACTGAGGTAGAAATTGCAACAGATTAGGCAGGAGAAATGAGGAATGAGAGGTCAAAGGGGTGGTTACCTGGATCTCGCTTTGCACACTTGCTGTCTCTGCTCTGCAGCAAGGTGTTAGCAGAGGTGAAGTGGGCAGGTGGGTGCTGCAGATCCTCATTTCACACAAACTGCAGTTCAAGCTGACCCCTATTTTGTGAGGACAAAGCATAAATGCCCCTGTCACTTTACAAAGCCATTTTTGCACCCATGATTGAGCTGAGTGAATTAATAAAGTAGTAACTTTAAAGCTAAAATTTCTGGAGTAAATATCCCTGAGTCGTATTCCAGATCTGTAATTTTAGGATGACAACTACTGTTATTACTAATGTCAATAATAACTTTCTAAAGCATCTCCTCCAAGAAAAGCAAACACCAATATATGCACCAACAGTATTTCAATCAGCAGTCCAAGTACCACAGGACAGGCAAAGCTACAAAAATGCTGTGTCTCTCTGTTCTGTAGGTAAGCGTAGTTGTGTCACTGATTACAATGATTGCACCCTCTGCTTTTGAACTTGTGGCAGCTCTGGAGATGTATCATCCCAGGACCACTCTTCGCTTCCAACTTGCCAGGTACGGGCATTATGCAGTGTAAAAATATACTGAGGAGAAAGGGAGGAAGAGGAGAGATGTGTTCTGGTTGCATGTTTTGGTCCAGCCAAACCAGAGAATGTATGAGAAGCTGATGGGATAACAGTGCCAATAACCCTTATCTTATTCTTCTTGTTTTCAGGGTTCTTGTTCTATACCTGGGAAACCTCTACAGTTTAATCATTGCTCTCCTGGATAAAGTGGACAGTATGAGTGTCACTGTAAGTTTAACTTGATGTTTTCTGATGTGTAAAGCTAGTATACTTTACAGATAGAATTGCATTTATTGTGATATATATATGAAGTCAGATGAAAACTTGTTTGAAATTAATTAAAAAATATTACAGTTTGATAGGAATGTAAAGTTAAGTTTAATTTGTAATATGCATTTACAACTACTTGTAGTTTTTTAGGATTAGATCCATTTGATTGCTAACAAAACACAATAAATAAATTTCTGTGCATTGCTTAACTACTTAAAAAAAAAAAAACCCAAAACAACACTTTACACCAAATATTTCTAGCTACCTAAAATCAGCTTTCACTACTGTCCTGATGAGTTTCATCTGCATCTTCCACTTCCGGGGGCTGATGTGGGATCAT